GAACCACTCCAAGGATACAATTTCCTACCCGGAGGTTTTAGTTCTTTGTGGTCCTGTGTATCCCCTTAATATTTTGATCATTTGTCTACCTATTAAAAGGAGCAACATGCCCAGGTTAACAGGGGTGGTCAGTTAGGCCAAGGAATAAGATGTCTGCAATGCAAGCTCTACTTAGGTTTACAAGGTATTGGTCATGCATAAACCCCTATAGGATCCTAGCAGGCATTTAAACATTTAGTTGATGTAAGGTCACGTTGCTAATGAACTGACTGCTGAATGGACTATAGCCAGCTTGAATCAGTGGTAGGTTCTGCATCTGATGTCATAAGGCTCAATAACCATTTCAAATCAATGGTCATCCACTTTAACTCTTTTTGCCCTCAAGGAAAGATGCTGCAAAGATAAAAAAAAAGAAAGAAAAAAAGTTTAGTATATGCAGTCCATTGAATCTTCAAGCCCAAATTGAGTTAAATCCATACCAGCATCAGAATACTTCAACAGACTAAAAATTAGGATTTATTTTTTTAAACGCACCGAATAAATCTCAAAGCTCCTCCAGAAATACATCTAGAAACTTCACATGCCAAACTTCTCCCAAGGTCCCACAATTTTGTAAGTACATGTATTAGCAAAATTTGCAACTGGAAGCAAACTCTGAATTTATACATATACTACTTTTGTATGTATACAAGAAAATATAATCTTATGCTCCTAACTTCAGCAGGTCAGCAGGTGCAATTGCTAGATGCATACATGCAAACTAGAAAATTTAGTAATTTACATGCATTACAACTGCAGCTGCAGCTCTGTTGGTCCTTTGCATACTTCATCCATAAATACAATAGGGAAAAATTCCATGGAGAAACTGCAAAGGAAAGGAAGGACCAAGAAAGTAAGATGACCAAGAGCTGAAGTGCAGGCAACTGCTCATACATGTGACCAAACCATACAGGGGGAAAAAAACCTTTTGAGAATGTAAGTAGCTCCCTGCTCAGGAAAGTTTTGTTTTTTAAATCTGTTTTAAGAGTCAGGAGTCCAATGCTCCTAGAACCACTTGCTGCTGCATACAGATTTCAGTGACATATGCTTTCTATAATCAGTATCTTGACCCAAGCTGTTTCAGCACAGGACAACAAATATTTTGTTTTATTTTTATTGTTTACTTGCTGTATTCAAACAGCAGTGCTTTTGATAACATCCATGCACATAATTTTATGGTGTATCTAATGTAGAACAGGTTCTGGCACCTGTAGGCCACATAAGAGAATCAGCATAGCTCTTTATAAAGTGTTAATAATCCATTATTTGTGTGTTTCAACAAGTATATAGGATATTTCAGCAAAGCGTACCTCTTTAGAAGATCTTGTTATCTGTATCTCCCTGGACTCACCTATTACTGGTATTGAGAGAAAAGATCTGTATTCCTTAAACTCAGGAAAGTCTGACTTATTCTTAAACATCCCTAATGTACACACTTACCAAAGCCTGTTTCACAGAGGACTGCAGTTCATAATCAACTGCCTATATGTGGATTAGATGGCTGCAAAGCAAATAGCACCTACAGCCACGCTGGTGTGGTAACAGTGTCAATACAGATAACGTTTACTTTGTAATCTGAAGGGAAACATACAGACATACCTGAAATGGCTTTAACCTAACTTGTCCAGGAACTAGCAGAATTGAAGGCATATTAGTACAGAGTATAGCACTGAGCACCCATGAATATATATGTTCAGCAGCTTCAGCAAGTGCCACCATGGATATCCACAATGATCACTTCTTAACATACAGGCATCTTTGTGAATCTGTATCATCATTATATGGCCAGCATGTTTCTGATCTTACAGAGAATGGGATTACCAGAAGGCAATACCTTGAAAAGGCTTAGTAATAATACCTAGCATATTCAAAAACCCCGAAGGAATGTGTTTATTCTCTCCACTCGCCATCACCCTTCTCCTTCCACTGTTTCCACTCTGCAGTTTTTTCTGCTATACAGAATGGAGAGAGAACCACAAGAAGGCTTTCATTCTTTCCCCACCCCACATCTTGCCTCCTATTCTTAATGACCTCTCTTCCTTTTCTATTCACCCTGTAGCGATTGTACACAGGACTTCAAGATTTAATGAAAGATCCTATAATACGATGAAGTTGCTTATTCTTATTTATAACAAAATTTTACAGTTTAGCTAATCACTGTAAAAAAAAAAAAGGAACATTTAAACATGGAACACCCCCTCTGGATGAACCACTGAATATCAGATTGCCAAACACCTGCTTAAAACAAAACCCTGTCCCAATCTTTGGGAGGTTGGATTACAAGATGTTGTAACATCACATGTAATAAGACACAAGAATGTTTGAGTCACAAGGATGTTTGATTCCAGAGGCAGTGTTGATACAACTGCAGTGTTGCCTCATTTCCTCTTTACGCCATCCTTGAGGCACATAGAAACAAAAGAGCTCCAGGTTCTGCCCTGCCCTGTAGTGTTATTACTACCTTAAGTCAAGGGCATGATGTAATCTGGGGCAGAGAAACTTCAGTTACCTGAAGAACGCATTTACTGCATGAAACATATCTGGATGCAATTACATAATTCAACTTGGATACCATTTTTAAAATCTCTTAAAACACATTTCATGAAGGGGTACCCATTCTACTGTTCTTTTCTCCTTGTATTGCTGTCTTGCTATCAAATAAATTCAGAGCATTTCCATATTACTAGGGTCTAATAGGCATGGCAAACCTCTCTTTTTAAAGAGATACACATCTCTAGAAAGTTCATGAACGTCACCCAGAAAAGTAAAGATTTGGTTTTCAAAAGGTCAAGTGCACAAATATGCATACAAAAGTGGATTCCCTCATTCATATCAGATACATGCGGTTATCAGACTATTCATTTTGCACGTCTATATGCAATTGTATTTGCTCGAGTAAATTAAGCATATAAAGGCATGTTTTTCAATTTCTCTTCAGAAAAAATGATACCTACATTTCTGTTAGTTATCCTGCCACTGAACAAAAAACAATTTTTCTGATCTGTGAATGATTTCAGAAGTTTCCCTATTCTGCAGCAGGACAAGATCAAGACCCTTCTAATTTTTTATTTTATTTTTGCACATACACACAACAAAGACATCAACCTAGAACAGGTAAGTGCCCAGTGGATAGGGCACTCACAAGAGATGTGGGAACCTGAAGCTTGAGTCCGTGATTTAACAAATTCAGACATAAGTCTTGAATTTGGATCTCTCATGTTCTTGGCAAGTAACACGTCAGACTTGCTAGCTTTTGTGGAGCACTTCCCTCTGTTTGTGACCAGAAATACCATTTTGGAAGTGAGAAGCCTTACTGATTGACAGAAGCCTTACTGATTGACAGTGTCCTCTGCATTCCCAAGTTTTATGGAGATCTCATGATGAGGAGAAAGAGGTTGCTTAACACTACTACATACTTTACTTCCTCTCAGATTCCATTAAGGTTAGCACTCAGTAATTACTCTTTCTTCCTTATAGGATCTCACATGTAGTATCCATTTGTTCAACACCATTGCTCAGTGTTTACATTCGGTGTACAGACTTGTGATATAACTTGCAACAGTGTCACTGACACACTGCCTATATTCTACAGCGAGTCTACTTTTACAATAGCCAGTGAATAGAGGATCCAGAGGATTGACAGTTGCCAAGAATAAGAATAAAGTAAGTAGATGAAAACAAACTGGCTCAAGTTCAGCTTTAAAAGGACAGCTGTGATAAAGGTTGACAGAAAGGGGTGGCAGCTACCAAAGATAAATATGTATACTTACACACATGCACACTAGCATATATATACTGCTTATATACACATATATTCTACTACTTTGCGTCTGTGTGTATGTATATCTATCTATCCATCCATCCGTGCACACACAACTTATATACTGCTTTATATATTGATAACAATGCAACATGTAGTGGAATGCTGAACAAATGAGCTCCAACCAACCACTTCAAAAGGGGACAAGGAGATGCCATTAAGGGCGCAGACAGAAATGCAGCTCCCAGCAGTAACTCAGAATGTTTTCTGCAAAGCGTTCTGAGTTACAATGTTACCCCAGACAAAACAGAAGTTCACTGTTGGTTCTAGGGAGGAGGGGACTTTAGCTGCAGGCTGGAAACCTGCACCCAGGTTCCCATAGCAATGGCCACAGCTCTCTGCCAGTGCCGGCTGTTTTCAGAATGGAAAGGGGGAAAGGCAATGGAGGGAGCTCATTCTTGGGGCTCCTCAGCTGGTGCTGAGGGAGGGGGGCATGAATTGGAGCCCCCCCCACCTTAGAGGGAACTGCAGTACACCTGCCCCACCATCCAGTGGGGGGCTGAAAAAACCCCAGACTGAACTTCCTCTGCTCCCTTTCCCCACTCCCATTCTGAAAACAGCAACAAACTGGGAGCTCCGCAAACACAAATTACAGAAGACACTACATTTTTAAATGTCTTCATCTGATACCTCATGCAATGAGGGGTCAGATTTTCTCCCAACTGGACATTTTTTAAGCTGTCTGCAGTTGTGCACTTGTGTTTGGTCACAGCTATAAGCTGCTTTCTGTGGCCAGATCAGGCAAAAATTGTCACTTCTGTCTGAGCCCTAGGAGAGGGCCTCAGCTGTTGCACTGAATCTGTCACCTCTGTGAGCTTCTTTAGAGATACAAAAGAGTCAAATGACCATAAATTTAACCTTGAAACAGGAATACAATTCCAACGGTTTTGCTACCTTAATATCTCCCTACCTCACAGTGATAGAGCAGCTTCAGCATGCAGTCACAGATGGACTGCACATCTGCATAACAGCATTCTGCTTCACATGCACACATTCTGTGGATAAAACCTACAACGTGATATGCCACCTGCTGCTACTCTTGTATTCTCAGATAGCGAATGCTTGAAAGGCCTCAATTCATGCAATGGCAGTCAAGGACACTGGAAAATCTCTTTTGTAAGGGTGGTCCACAGTGACCATCACAACAATCTAGGTAACTGCTACAAGCTGTTCTTAGGGTTATCCCTGAAGGGCGTTCAGGAGGTTTAAACGGGGAGGTGGGGAATGAAGAAAACCAAAATAACACGACAGGTTGCCTCCTGATCTATGATGAGCTTCTTCAGCCACTGTCCCTCATGTTCTGCCTAACTACCAGTTTGCATTTGAATGCTGTTCACAGATGTAATGATGAAATCTATGAATAGTAGTCTAGGGTCCTGCTACCTAAAATGTCACCTTTTCCCCCCATGTCTTTCTGAAGATGTTAACATCTAAGTGCTTTTGTTGCTCCTACTTTATCTGCTGGCATCACTCTCTCCTGTAAAGCTTACTCCCATTAGTGTTCTAGGGCTAAAGTTAGTTTGCCAGTTTCAGGGCTTAGTACAAATCATGTTTTAATTTTGTGTTCAGCCAAAAAGGCACCAACTTTGGTGGCAGGGTAGAGGGGGAGGAAGAAGGGGACATCACATTCCTGTCTGAAAATGTGGTGTCTATCATGCCAAGATGGCTAATTCCTATTATTTTGCTTAGTTTATTGCATGCAGTAGATCAGGTGTTGGCAAACCCCAGTATGCGTGCTGAGCATGGCACGTGAGGCCATTTTGCTCGGCATGCCACAGTCAGCCACGGCTCTAGGTAGCTGCTCCCAGCAGGGCTTGTAGTGTCCCAGCTGCCTGCTAGGAGCAGCCTGGGCTCCGGGCTGGCAGCAGCTACCCAGAGCCAGGGCCAGCTGCAGCTGGGAGGCTGCAAACAGCTGCGCCGGGCTCTGGAGCCCTGGTATCAGCTCTGTACCAGCGCGTGCACGCGCACCTCGGAGCGGGCAGTGGGGGAGAGGCCCGAGGCAGCGCAACCCTGGTCTCTCCCGTGCTCCCAGCACAGAGCTGATGGCTGGGCTCCGGAGCCCGGCACAGCTGTTGTAGCCAGCCTAGGCTCTGGGCAGCTGCAGCAAGCAGCTGGCTGGCTTCCAACAGCTGTGCTGGGCTCCACAGCTCTGGCATCAGCTCCACACGTGCACAGTCGCTGCCAGCATGGAGCTGATTCCGCTGTCCCAGCGGCAGCCAGCCCCAGCTATGGGTAGCTGCTGCCAGCCAGGAGCCTGGGCTGCCCCCCAGCAGGCATCTGGGATGCTGCAAGCCCTGCTGGGAGCAGCCTGGGCTCCAGCAGCTACCCAGAGCTGGGGTAGCTGCTGACAGCCACAGAGCCTGGGCTGGGGGGCAGGGCATCCTGCCATGTACCCCCTGCCCTCACTTTGTTTTTCTGGCATACTGGCACTCCGACACCTGCCAAGGTAGGCATTGTAGTGTTTTTCGGCACTCCGGCCAAAAAAACGTTGCCTACCCCTGCAGTAGATAGTCTTGTGCGAGTAGGGAATCAAACATACCCCGAAACAACCCTCCCCAAAATCCAGCCTAACTTTAATTAGCATAGTTCTTTGTTATGGTGCCTACAGACTTCAGAACTGCATGGTCCATAAATTCATTTGCTTCAAATGAAGCAGAGCCAGGGAACAAATCCTAATAAAAAGGGGCCAACTCATGCATCTACCCAGTTTACATTTATTTGCTCGAAATAATAAATTGCACAGAAATGTGTGCTATACACAGAAAAGTTCCTGATTTTTTTAAATTTGTATACACAGAGCCTCCAGAAAGTCACAGCTGCTGACAGAAGACATACTGAATACCTATACTCAGGTGCAAAATAGCTCAAAGCTGAATTTCTGCAGGAACTGAAAATGGAGAAATGCAACTTTGAGCCAGATTTAGAAAGACCGTATGTTCTCCATTCTAGCAAAAACTGCTTGCTCTGGTTTATATAAAAAAGTGTTATAACGATTTAAACCCCAATTCACTGCTATTCCTGCAGAACAAAATCACACACACTAATATTTACAGCTTAGAGTACAAGAGCTGCCAATACGGCACTGGTACCGTTTGGGGTCTATGTCGATTCCGTACCGTTCCTTGTTGGTAAAAGTGAGGTGCCAGTTCCAATAACCAAGCAGATTCAATAGCAGTCACATCTCTCATGTAGTACTTGGAGGTCTGTATGACCTCATTGTAGACTACCCTGAAAACACAGAGATGGGAAAAAATTAAACCAATTTTAAAAGCAATGATTAAAATAGCTTGGATTATATAAACTTTCTACATCTTATTTATTTCACATATGAAGTGGTCTGGGTAGTATTTGCTGTCAGGGAAGAGACCCCATTGTTTGTTATATGCCCTCTGTATTCTCCCAAAGGCACTCAGGGTACTGTATGGGGCAATAAGACAACTTCTAAAAATTCCAGTGAAAAAATCTTAAGAAACCTACCAGGAAGAACAGATGAAAAAACTTGTCACAAGGAAAAGGAATGGTTAGTTTACAGTTTGAGGTCAAGGAATGCTTGCATAAAGCATTTCCTAAGGATGATTTTAAGTATCATGAAGAGGGTACAAGAAAGAGACATGCTAAGGAGTGGATAAAAAACTGAAGTACATTAGCCTTTAAGCACAACTCACAACATAACCTGATAATAGAGCCCTAAGAGGTGGGTGGTATCTAGTTAGGAGTAAGTTTAATGGAGGAGGGCTCTGCATGAAGCCTGGGCATATACCATCCAGAGCTTAGGAAACCAATCTGCCATGTCCTATGCAGCCCTGTAAAGAAAGCAAGCAAGCAAGTTATTTGTAAGACTGCCTCCCTATGGAGGTCATTTAACAAGAATCTACAAATTCGTACTGTGTTCCTTCACCCAGCCAACCCATAACTTCATCAGGGATGCTGGATGCAGGTACTATTCCAGTTAAGGAATTCATGACACCCCCACTTAAGCATGAGTCTTAGACATGACAAACACTCCACCCATTGATTATTACTTTGCTATTGTGTGTGTGTGAGAGGGAGAGAGAGAGAGAAATGCTCACCTACATCCCACATTTATTAAAATAGATCCTCCAGCCAGACAGCATTTTTGCAGCCTCATAATAGCACATTATTAACTCAATTAACCCTGTTTGCATTGGAAAGAGCAATCGTAATTTGGCTCTTTACAACGTGTACTGAACAGCATTGCAATTAAAATATCTTAAGATTGCTTTTTTTAACTCAACATATACATGCAAGCAGCTTAAATACAGTCATATAGTTTAAGATAATACATAGCCCATGCCCTTTCCTTGCTGGTTATTTAACATCCTCGTTTTTACTTTAAATATTGAAAATGGTCCCTACTCTTGGGTATCAGAGCACTTTGTAATCTAATGTATTTATCCTTCCAATACCCCTTTGAGTTAGGGGAGTGTGTTATTTCTATTTTACAGGAGAAAAAAACAGACACCAAAATAATAAGGGCTAGTTCCACAAAGGGACTGAGGTATGAATAATTGAATTAAAGTGAGCTAAAAAAGGTAGGGACTTACCACACAAGAGATGCTGTATAGCAACTTGTTTACATGCCCACAGCAAGTGAGAGGAAAAGTAGGGCAGCTAATGAAACACAGCAAAGGTGCCCTGGCTTAGCTTTCCCTTGCTGTAGGATGACTGCATAACAGTATTTCTATGGTAAGTCTCCATCCCATCAACTTCATATAATTTGATCATTTGTTCACACACATAGGCAGATTCCAGGAGCTCCGCCCCACCCCATCACACCCAACTGCCTCCTAATCCCATCAGCATATGAAGTCCAAAGGCTCACATTTTGGCAGCTTCTCTATTTGCCTAGATTTTCTGTTTCTGTTACATTCAAAAGTGCTTCAGTTTTGAGAGAACAGTCAATCAGTGACCGCATAAAATATACTGTCATTGGATAAAATATCTGCATGGCTCCTGAAACACAGACTGTAACCCAGGTCTCCCCTGCTTCCAGGGCAGCATCCCCACAACTAGACCAGAGTCACACTTGCTC